AGTGGGGCATGAGGACGTGGATGGGAGGGCGCTAGAGGCTGGCGGCACGAGTTACCGTAGTCACACCGCCCCTTCTAACAGGGCACACCGGTTCTTGGCAGATCACGGGCCGAGAGAGTCGCCTGCTGCCATGCAAGATAACAGAATTCCAGTTAGAGGTAGTGTAAGTTGGTAGCTTGCGGGCATTGGCAGGTGCCCTGGGCCTGTACATAATGCTCCATGCCCTGTTGTCTTGTTTGAGCGGCGGCGGCGGCAAGCCCCAGGCTGCCCGCCGCCTTGCACCCGGCTGGCATACAGAGGAGACCCCAGCCAGCCGGCTTGCACAGGACCGCCACCAGCTCACTGAATGGACATCAAACATTGATCTGTTTTACTACTGCTCTTAGAATCAAGAAACATTTTCAAGGCACCTTCATCAGCTTTGGTTTTTGCATCTTCTTTTTGCAATCTTTCCAAAGGCAGGAAAGGTACAGGTTAAATTTTTTCTGCATTTAGTGGCATCATTCTCTTATTCTCTTCTTTATTCGCCTCTGAATGGCTCAAGGTCTGCATTGTAGGTTCTGAGATAATGCTGCCTTATGAAGAGGCTCTCCACCAGGCACCCTATATGCTGCCCTGCAATCTTTAATTTTGGAATCTAGGGTGACTTAAGAGATCCATGCATTTATTCCACGTATCAAATGTTGCTACTCAGAGCAGATGGTAAAATTCCAATGCCTTTGATGCAAAATGCCTTTAGAACCATTTACAGCTCTAATTGGTAACTGGTGTTGGTAGATCATAACATATGTAAAGTAGTATCATTTTGACAGCCATATTAGACTGATAAACTATCATGGAGCATTTAAGGTAACATATTCTACTCGTTTGACCACAACTCATTCGCGAGGCAGTAATCCATGCACAGAACTGCGAAGTAATGAACAGAAGTGCAGCAGGGTAGCTTCTGAGGGTGTTGGTGGTTTCTTTTTAGTATTTTTCACACTGAGCTTGTAAGCCTCATGAAGGATCCTGGCCAGGCACACACAACCAGGGGTTCCTTATAATGCTAAACTCTATATTGCAAGAAACAGTACATAGGCCCTTTTTCATGGCATCATGCTTAGGTTGCAGGGAATCAGTCATGTTTTAAATCTTATTGTACAAACTAAATCAGACGGTAGAAAAATAGTGATGAAATATAATAAGCTAAATACAGTAGCTCCGTCAAAACATTCCCAACAACCTGCACTCTCAATGCACTTATTTATAAAGATAGCTTGATTGTCTTGTCGCTTGCATCATTCCTCTCTCTCTCTCTCTCTCTCTCTCTCTCTCTCTCTCTCTCTCTCTCTCTCTCTCTCTCTCTCTCTCTCTCTCTCTCTCTCTCTCTCTCTCCCTCTCCCTCCCTCCCTCCCTCCCTCCCTCCCTCCCTCCCTCCCTCCCCCCTCCTCCCCCCCTCCCTCCCCCCCCTCCTCTCTCTCTCCCTCCTCTCTCTCTCCCCTCTCTCTCTCCTCTCTCCTCTCTCCTTTCTCTCTCTCCTCTCTCCTTTCTCTCTCTCCTCTCCTCTCTCTCTCCTCTCCTCTCCTCTCCTCTCCTCTCTCTCTCTCCCTCTCTCTCTCTTGCTCCCTCTCTCTCTCTTGCTCCCTCTCTCTCTCTTGCTCTCGCTCTCGTTCTCTCTCTCTCGCTCTCGTTCTCTCGCTCTCGCTCTCTCCCTTTCTATCTCTCTCTCCCTCTCCTTCTTTCTCTCCCTCTCTCTCCCTCTCTCTCCCTCTCCCTCCTTCTCCCTCTCCCTCTCGCTCTCGCTCTCCCTCACTCCTCTCCCTCTCTTTATATCTATCTATCTATCTCTGTCTCTCTCTATCTCGATCTCTCTGCCCCTTTGCTTCTTCTCTTCCCCTCCTCCTCCTTACATATTGTTAGTGATAAACTCCCCAAAATACAATAATGTCCACAAGCATTTATATATATATATATATATATATATATATATATATATATATATATATATATATATATATATATATATATATATGTATATATATATGTATGTATGTATATATTTCCTCTTCCCCCTGAAACATGCCAGATGCACTTTGAAGAACATAACATGCCAACTCTTAGTACATTTCCATCTCACTGATTCCTGCATTTAACACTGCAAAAACACGATCAGAAACTCATGAATGACTACATTTCATGGCAGAAAAAGAGGTAGATTTATACTTCAGTCGTACCAGCCTATAGTAACAGGAAAAGAAAGCAATAAGGCAGAAAATGGGGGTTGATTTAAGAAAGAGGTTCACTGAGAGTCTTTCTTCTGCTCACCCCAAAGGCAAAGATTTATCGGCCAAAGCAGTAAGATAAAAACTGTATATGTCATCGTTTTTTTTTCTGGAAAGTGTTTTTTTTTTATCTCTAGCATTAGTATGGACTTCGCTTGCCAAGTTGTTTGAGATAATTTGTCTTTTCTGGTTATGAATCTGATGTTTTTATCTCTTACGTTTTGTTACCTATGTTTTATGACATTCTATTCCTTTGCTGTTTTTCACCTGTTCTCCGATAATATATCCTCCCTATTATCAATTTTCCCGATTTCCACATGCATACCTTAATCCTAATGTTTCCCTATCTTTATCATTATTTCATCACTGCAATTTACATACAATATTTACTTCCATTTCAGCCTTTAACACACTTTACATCGCCAACAAAATTACAGCTGTTGATGAGTTGACCTTCTTCCTGCCACTTACACTATGTCTTTTCGCCCCTTTTTTATTTTCTTATGAAATTCTTCTTGGAGTATTCTTATTTCTTTAGGATGATCTTCTTAGTCCATCGACAGTCCTAGTTCTCCTGATCCTTTACCTGGTCTGTCAATTTGACCAGGTCGTTTCATGTCCTTCATTACATACCATGTTTCGGGCCCTATATCTTGCAGCATAAGTTTCAGGTCTCCAACCCTTTGCCAAAGGAAGACACTGACGGTGATGTATGCAAGGCTAGATTGGCACCTTTAAACTGATGGGGAGAGAGTAATGTCTGGGCTATAATGTGTGACTAACCTTCTACTTCGATCTTTTAGAGAAATGAACGATTAGAAAAAGAGGAGAGAGAGCTTGAGAGAAAAAAGAAAAAGGAAGATGCAAAATCTCTGGAAGGACCGGAGGATGAGAACAATGATGATAATAAGGATAACCCTCCAGATGAGGAAAAAGGGGAGACCTCGTCAAGGTGCACTTCAGAAGTCACCAAGGACAGCCAAGGGCAGGTCAGGGGCACCCATGAAGTGTCTATACGGATTCCGGAAAATTCTAAGCAAGCAACAGCACTGTCCAAAAGCACCCAAGTATTTTACAAGAGTGCTCCCGAGCCGGCTAGCAGCCCTACTGCAGCCCCGAAGGGACCTGCAGAGCCTGTGCAGCAACCTGATCCTGGCAACCTTCCAAGTCCAGAGCAGAATAACGAACCTGCAGAGGTATAATCGTGATATTATCTGCGTCTGAATGTCCACACCGACTGACTGCCTATGTCCGGTGTCCACGTATCATTAACTCCATGTTACCTAGAATAGTGTTGGAAACTTTTTGTAGTGTTGAATTACTGTCTTTTGTGATTTATAAGCAGACTACTACTTTTGTTAGATTTGGATTTTCACGGGTGGCCAAAGCACGTTTGTTGAATTGATGACTGTATAGTTTGAATGAGTCTACATTTTTTTTTTTTTACATATTAGTAATAATTTAGTCAAAAAGAATGCACGAGTACAATGAGTTTTGAAAGTAGAGGCCAAAAAAAGACAAAAAACAGTATTCATATGTGATTAGAAAGAAAGCACGTGCCATACTGACTTCCACACTAGACCTGTGTGCTTGGATGATGACCCTTCACTGATGATGCACACTCTTAGCCTCTCTAGATCCTTGTTCTCAGGCGATAGTCCATACCATATCCCAAGTGTGAATGACCAACCGATGCACAATGAATTTGGTGTTTCTTGTCTGGGTGTAGCTAAGGCCACAGATACCCCTGTTCGCTCACCCTCGTTCCATGACTGACCCAAAAGCGAAGGACGTTGTTTGTTCCACCAGTGTTTTGTTCAGAGAGATCTCCACTGCCACCATACATTTGTTACAACTATGGTGCTACACTTGTACCTGTACTGTCTCCCTTGATGTCTCTCTACTGCCCACTGGAAATTCGAAAGCATGAGGTTTTTATGACACCTCGAAAAGAAAATAATCTCATTGTCTATTTTTTATATACATATTTTTTTCCGGGATTTTACTGTTCTATAACACACACACTGAAAAGCACAATGCTCATGAAGAGGTTGTTTTCTTGGAAAATGGGAATTGTGATTTATGTCTTGGCAATTATGTGTGTAGAGTGTATCAGTGATATACCTTTATATGTGAATTGCCTCTCCTTTCCTCGCGTTGCCCAGCCTTATGTGTTGCCGATATATAATTATGAATCTGGACTTGTCGATGTCTTTTTTTGTCCTGTTGATGTTTGTCTTTGCTTTTACTGTCTGATCCTTGCCAAACCCTTTACCACTGGATCTTTGGTGTGTGTCCAACACGTGCATTTTCCTATTCTTTCCACTTGACTCATATTTCATTACACTTATTGAAGAGTCATTCCTGAGAGTCATTTCCCTTCAAAGTGTTTTTTGATTCCTTTCTTGACCTCTTTTAAGTACTTCATTTACTTTCTCTTATTTTCATTACCAGTCTCTTCATATACATAGAATTTATTGTTCCTACAGAAGTCATTATTTCAAAGTTTGCCTTAGTAAGATCTCACAGGAGCTAAAAAATAAAAGAAAAACCCTTACCACTATTGATTTATCACCCCTTAATGAGGAAACCTTTCCCCCAGATCTACCTGCTGCCAGATGCCTTGTCTGTGTTCCTATAACACCCCCAAAAAATAAAATTTCCCCAATAGTCTTGCATCCAGTTATTCTCCATTATGTGTCTGTTCCCACACTTTCCTTTGTGAAGATGTGAAGCCCATTGTAATTGTTCTGCCTCTGCCATGTTGACTGTTCATGTTTGAGGTATGTGTTTGTTATATGTATAGATCTGGGACAGACCTGAACAAGATATGAATCGCATATTGCGTGCTCCTGCTACATTGCATTTATGGCTGCCAAGAAATGAATATGTTGTAGAAAATAATACTGTATGTGCCTTTTGTGAGCCCACCTGCCAGTGTTGTACACTCGACATTACTCATCCGTTTAACACATATGACCCCTTACAGCTTAATCAACTTTAAACATTTACAGAGGATTGATAAGCCATGTTGGCAGCAGTCCTCCTTTGCAGTTCATATTTCCCAGACTTCTGTGACATTAATTGACTTCCATTCATACATTCACCCCTATGCTTGCAGCATTGGGTATTAACACTGCATGTTTAGATTTGATGCATGTTTGTAGGTATTGAGGATTATGATGGTAACACCTGCAGTATTAGAATATCAATGAACAAACACACACATGCTCACATGCAGAAAAGTTAGTCATATGTACAGTAAATTTATTAAAATATTAATTCACTGTCACATATATGTATATACTATGTAGCAGTACATGTAAACACAGGTTCTCTGAATGAGTACCAGGTGACAGAGACAAGATTACCCATCCTGTTGATAATCCTCTTGCATGCGTTTGGATGAATTGCTCTTTTTTTCTTGACGTAGACTTTTATCACTCTTCCCTTTACTACTGATACACTGAAAAAAAACTATTCAGAAATTTAGAAGGAGAATAGCAATTTTGAGTCTATTCCCAATTTATAATTTTCAAGTAAGCCCCATTTGAGTAAAATCACCATTTCCATGGTAGAGTCTCAGGCTCAGAGCTGTTAATTTCCTCATATCTTATAAGCCTTTGTAAAATCATCAGATGTCAACCCTGGTAGTCATACTGTATGCCTTCAAAGATTTATGTAGACAGATATTTTTTCATATATATATAAATACCTGACAATGTTCATAAGTATATTGAGTAGCATAAATATTTCTGCCATATTTTCAGTAGGGGAAACCTTGTGCCATTCAAACAGCAGCACATGGTATCCTGCATAGTCAGCTGATGATCAGAAGTTTTAAAAAAAAGTTCCATAGGGATCAGCTTGGTTCAAGGTCTCAATATTTCACGGAAACAGGACTCAAAAGATGTCATCACCACAAACACACAAACATTAAGATTTCCTACTCGGATGTCACACTGTGTAGTAGACCTACGAACCAGCTGCATACCCTTGCAACTGTAAAACTTAGGCCTTGACTAAGGTGGGCACTAAGACGGAGTGTAAGGGGGTAGGTTAAGAGGGCACTAAAGTGTCTCTGGTCAACACCAGGATGAGAAGAAGAGGTCAGCTTCTACCCTTGAGGCCCCCGACGATGAACGACGACACTTGAAGGGAAACGAAGACCGGGTCAAGGAGAACCAGCTCAGACAGAAGCTAATGTACGATGACCCCAAGTGTAACATTGAGAAAGGTTTGTCAGTATTTTTCCCTTCGCAGAGTTTGTGAAAATACGAATCGATAAGCTGTCTGTACCTCATTGCTATTCAGACTCTTATATTCTCATTTTAGTGAAATGTTATTTAGACAGTATTGATTATGCTCCTTCACATTTTGTCATGACGTTGCATTCAATTACTCCTACTGTAAAAAAAGTAACATAGCCTGTGTGTGAACTGAAACAAAAATAAAACTCAAACAGTTATTCTTGGTCATAATCAAATATAAATAATCCTTACCTTCCAGAGAGTAAGTTGCTGCAGATGCCACAGTCACAAGGTCGGGACAACAGAATCCCAGAACACGCCATGCTCCCTCCAACACCAGCAGGCTTCACCCCCATCATGGCTGCGCCTCCTTCCCTCCTTGGGTACCCCCCCATCATCACCCACACGGCTGCCACTCCTCAGGGCTCGCCCCATGCCACGCTCGAGTCATGTGGCAGGGGAGAGCTCAACAACAGGCTGACTCCGGCGATGGCTCTGTATGGCACTACGTCAGATCAGCCGGACCATCCTCAGGTATCTGAATGGCTCTTGGGCTGCTTCAGTATTCCGTTACAATGGCGGATTGAATTCTCTATTCCTAGTAACATCTTCCCATTAAGATGGCCACTTCTTTGTTACACATTTATTTACAATCTTATTTATTTATTATATCTTAGAGAAGTATCGTTATTTCTAATATCTTTAGTTGGATAATTCTACCTGTTTCTATATTTATAGTTTAATATTTCTGAAGTGCATCCTAAATATTATTTTGAATGTATATTTTATGCAACCCTATACGGTATAAGTGTCGCATTTCAATGATAATTTGATAACTGACATTAGTTGTTGTTTTTCTAACAGAAGATAAAGTCATTTTTAGCATGATAGAATAGCGTTTTGTGATTTTTATTCCACCTGTTCTAAGATTATATGATTTTATAAATAACATTGTATAGTAATAAATATGTCTAATAATTGCGATT